ATTGGAAGAGGTAAGAATCCCTAGGGCTTTTCTCTATGGAGCGGAGACGCCTGAGAGGCGACATTATTGAGACCTTTAAAATAATGAAGGGACTGATTGGGCTAGAGGCGGACAGCCTGTTTACCCGAGCACCGCTCGAGTCGACAAGGGGGCATTATCTGAAGCTAATGAAGTCCAGAAGCCGACTCAAACTTAGACACAACTTCTTCACGAGTAATGGATAAGTGGAACCAACTACCACCTTCAATACTAAACTGTAGGACAGTCGATAAGTTCAAAAGACAATTAGATGGGGTCTGGATCAGCCTCTATCCCGAGATTTGTTAGAGTGCTTACTATTGAGAGTAGCTGTTTCATGCTGCCTATTCTCGTGTAACCTCCCCTTTCACATAAGGGAGGCTGGCCCGAACGAAGAAATCGCCTTTGGTCAAACGGTCGACAAGAAGTCGAAGCTACGGAAGAATGTGATTCCGGCTGGAGCAAGAATCTGGGCGCGCGGTTGGCGAAAGCTTTTATCGTCCTGCGCCACCTGACCTGACCTGACCTGCCTAGAAACCGGTTTAGGTGATGACCATTTGTTGACTGAAGCCTACTGATATTACCGATTGAACATTGTAAGATCTCATTTCCACATCTGCTCGTCATCCAGAAACCCGAAATAAAGGATCAAGAACTTCTACTACAGTCGAAACACAGCGGGGGCGCATAAGAGCTCACAAGTGCAAGGAACTGGACACATTGGCATCAACCGCAAGTCCTGTGTATCCGACCTGACCTTACCTGAACAGACAGCAAGAAATCATCAAGGATCCGGGATCACTGGGCGCCAGCCTCAAACCCGAGGGTCACTTCTAGACTTCAGGACCTGCTATTGGAGCTGACGGAGAGGCATGCTCCCTCGCAGTCTCGGGGGACACCCACAAACTGCAATGGTCGAGGCCGGACATCAAGCGCGCCACAGGGGAAAGGACTCGTAGGTGGAAGGCATTTGTTCTCTCAGGAGGAAATGAACAATGGCTTCAATATAAGAAGGCGAGAAACTATGCAAACAAGCTAGTAAAGCAGGCGAAAATGACCTTCGAGGTTAAAATCGCCAGGAGAGTGCACCAGGAACCCAAGAGGTACTATGGCTATGTGCAATCGAAGACTGCAATAAGACGATCGGCAGGCACTCTGGAGAACCCCGGAGGTGGGCTGTCTGTCTCAGATTACGAAAAATATGAGACGCTCAGGAGGTATTTTGAAACCGTCTATAAAATAGGCGATGGGCGTGCGGTCCCTCGAGAGATTTTAGACATTCTTCCAATGGGTGATATGGAAGTTTCAATTAGTAGTGTTCTTGATGTCATGGAGGGCTTGAATGTAAACAAGTCCGCTGGCAGCGACGGGCTACATCCGGCCATCATGAAACCATTAGCTTCTGTCCTCGCCCTCGCGATGACCACACTCTATCAGGAGTCCCTAAGGGCTGGGAGAGTACCCAGTGATTTGGCGACTGCCACAGTGGTAGATATCCACAAGAGTGGAGATAGGAAGCAACCTGGTACCTACAGACCCGTAAGCTTGACCAGCGTGCTGTGTAAGGGCTTAGAAACCATTGATAGGAATGCTCTCTGCGAACACGTCACGCACATCACGCAAAATTTACACATGTTTTTTCAGTCATCAGCCCTCGGGAATCTCTCGTGGCAGGTGTAGCAATCCACTGAGGTACGGCGCATGTCAAATGATTGAGATTGCTGTTATCCCGAGGGCGATCCTGCTCTTCATCTCTTCCCTTGTAGGTGCAACAATCGTGACAATTGTGGAACCACCTGGTAGTCGCAGCACAGTGGGAATCACCAGCTCGCAAGTGCAAGGAGCTGGACGTCCACTGGCCGAAGCCTAAGGTTCTGTGACCTGACTTGACTTCACTGAGTTGCTGCC